AAGTGGGGATTGGAGAACTCTGAAGCTGGTCAACAGTAAGAAGACTCTACCACCCCATCCCTCAATGAGAAGTGCAGAAATGACAAGGTCCTAGTATAAGGACCTAGGAACACACTGAGAATCACACCTCCAAGATGGGCCACCTCCCAGAGCCTGATGGCCTTCAGAGAGGAAGGTACCACTGTCAAACTAAACAGCCCAGATGCAGGGACAGTTTATGAAATCACAATATGACTCAAAATKGGACAATGACTAATAACTGATTTGTTCCACAGCTTTATCCATATTTATCTGACACATCATTTATATTAGTTAGAAAATAAGAAGAAATATACTTTTAATGTAGGATACACATGTAGATTTATATATTGTCTTTATCATAATAGATGTTAAATATTTTTAATGTTTCTCCTGGTAGAAAATATAAAGAAATGAACATTTGATTTTTAATCTTTATATCATCCACCATTTTCAAAGAGAGGCTGCATGTGTGTATATTTGAGGTAAATGTGGATGTCAACTTATCTGACTGAACTAGGGGGATTAGTTCAAGATTCGAGGAATTATTTACGTCCACTTATCAGTTTTCCAAAATATTCTTGAAGAACACGTGTGTATTAGCAGTGTTCCGACAACTAGAGCAACTTAGATGGGGCAGGATGAATCAGCACAACTTTAATCTTTGTAGACTTTGAAACAAACTATCACACAATCTTTGTTTGCCTTTCCTCTAAACTCCATAGCTATGTTTGACTCTATCTGTCCTTGGAAACCCTTGGTACAGTTGCAACATTCTAAGTCAACAAGCTAACTAATAGAAAAATGTTCGGACTTTAACCACAGAAATAGGTAGACTTTCTCAAGGTTTATGTTTCTACTAAATGATATCTACCTAATTTCATTCATGATTTTACTTCATATTTACTGATCACCCATTGTGTTACCCAAATTGCTTTAGGCATAGGGGCTATCATAAAAAAAAAAAAGGAACCCTGAATGAGAGAAAGAAGCTAACATGTGAAGATCCAGGCTAAGACAACCCCAGCCAGAAGGAAGATGMAGGCAGGGAACTTGGTCAGGAACAAGTTTGGTGTTTTTTCAAACCAGGAAGAAGGAAGGTCAGTGCTGTAGGATCATGGAGAGGAAGCACTGAAAGATGAGGTCAGAGAGGTGGGCATGAGTGTGCTAGCCATCTATTGCTGCAGAGATTGCCACCAAGTTTAGTGCCTTAAAGCAACAAGCATTTATTATGCTCAACAATTTGTGAATGGAAATCAGGAATCTGAGAGCAACTTACTGGGAGATTCAGCATCAGGATGTCTCAGGAGGCTGCAGTCACTTAACCTTCAGGCACTGTCGTCACCTGAAGGATTAATTGTTGGTGGGATTCACTTCAGACATGGCCCCCTCACTCAGGTGTTGGCTGAGTCCTCAGTTCCTCCCTGGAAGGTGGCAACAGATCTCAATTCCTTGATATGTCTGCTCTTCTTTAGGGCTCTTGACTGTCCTTGTGACACTAATGTCACAAGAGGGAACAAGACAGAAACTAAAAGGTCTCTGGAACCTAACATTGGAGGCCAAACTCTGGAGGATGGTGGCAGACCGAGGAGATGGCCTGTGGGGAGGGCAGTAGGGGGGAGAAGGGAAGCTGAGTGGGGCCAGCCAAGGAGGCTGAGGAGGCTGCGACATTGGAGTCCGGGGTACTCAGGACAGACAGCATGGCCTTATGAATCCAGGAGAGGAGTGTGAACACTGAAGAGGGAAGATCTTATTGGGAACTTGGAGGCCACTGGTGACTTGGACAGGTCAGCTGCAGTGGAGTCGCAGGGACAGAGGCAGCCTGACTAGAGTGGGTGGAGGAGAAGTGAGAAGTGAGGAAATGGAGACAGTGGCTACA